AGATTAAGGACCATAACCCCTTATTTATAAATGTTGTACATTTGTAATTTGACCCCTCATCAAATCACAATTATAACCTGGTATCTGCACATATAACCCCATGATTATATTTAAATACCTATTAACCCAAATTAATTGATCACTTTAGTGGGTTATCCTGAAGGATAGCAATACACAGATTAATCATATGTGTCCACAAATAGATTTAATTAGATTTAAATCCAACATGCACTTGTAAAAATTTAAAGCACGTGTGTATGAAAAAATTTAAAATATCAAATGATATGCTTAAGATGTGGTACTAGTAAAATGGCCACGTAAATTTAGAAGGTCTCTTTTGTAGGCAACCAAATTAAATTCAGAAAGTCTTTTTTTGTAGGCAACCAATTTAAATTTGGATGGTCTCTTTTGAAGGCAACAAATTTACAACCTCTTATAATAGAAGAATTTTAAATTTACATCTTCAGACATAGACTACGATCTTATATGCTCATAGACCATGACCTTAATAGAAGAATTTTAAATTTACATCTTCAGACATAGACTACGATCTTATATGCTCATAGACCATGACCTTTCTATGCTAACATGTTTTGATGTCATTCAGACATAGACTACGATCTTATATGCTCATAGACCATGACCTTTCTATGCTAACATGTTTTGATGTCAAATCATCATTTTATAGCTTGACTACATATATAATATTTTCTCTTGAGATTTCAAAAAATGAGCAGAGTTGATATAAATATGGTCTGTCAACTAATATGCCTAGTTACAAGAGATGTGATGAATCAATGTCCTGGAAAATCAAATCAAGAGGTATATCTTATAACTTCTACCTATATGACGAATAAAAGTTCAAAATCATTAAAATTATATTGAAATTAGTCCATCAAATAATTAAAATTGCTATTAGGTTCCCTTATCCTTATAAGTTGTTTCAAATTAATCTCTCCTCTTTCTACTTGTACTCTTGCTTGGAGAGACTAATTTTTAAAATAACTTAACAAGAAGGGGACCTAATGTCAATTTCAAACAATATGAAGGACTAATTATAAAATAAATGAAGGACTTGATAAATCTATACAACGTCTGCTAGTCAAAGTTTTGATCTTGGACTTTGTAAAGTCTGAGAAGAATCTTGTTGACCCTTTGACTAAGGGATTATCCAGGAGTGTGGTTCTGGATTCATCGAGGGAGATGGGGTTAAGCCCATAAGTGAGGTCACTGGCAGTGATAACCCAACCCTTATTTGGAGACTTAGTCCAAATTTTGGTTCAATGTGGTAGAAACAAGCTGGACTAGTGACACTCGTGTGGAGCATCGACCCAGATATATTCATATATTACTATGTAGCATATGCTACTACCCCTTTTCTATGATGACGATGCTCTTATGATACAATTGGTTAGGATGAGTTTTACTCTTAATAAGTTTAACGTGTGTATTATTAAATATCCAGTTATAGTACCCTTTGAGGACTTACCTACGTGAGAGAAACCGTAATGGTCGCGGTTGGGGGGGGGGGGGGGGGGGTATTGTGAGTATGGCCTTCAACGCTCAACCCGCTTTGCTCAATAGATAAAAACGTATTATGTGTGTTTTTACCAATACCTGATTCAGGAGCCTAATTTAAGGCCTAGTCCATTATGTCCCTCAGGTGGCGATGAACTCACTAAGGAAAGGTTCAAAGTCGGAAGCTACCTCTCCCGAATTCACGATACGAAACGTTGCCCAACCTATATTTGTTTTATGATTTCTTAATTTATTTATTGATTACTGAGTTTTCAGTCAATATTGCCTTTTGGGGGGAGTGTTGGATATTTATTGAGAAAAGACAATTTTGCCTTTGTATTTTAGTCCCACATCGGAAAATGAAAAAGATTTCTCTCTCCCTCAACCCTATAAATACACCCTTATTCACATTCTAAAACATAAGAAAATAAAGCTTTTTCTCCTCTCCTCTGTTTTTAAAAAAAGATTATTTTTTCCCATCTATATTTTTTGTTATTAATTTTTTAGGCAATCTTCTTCATCTGAGCTGAAGCTCTGTACTCTCGCCTGAGTACGAAGGTCGGCCGTTTTCGAGGGCTTTTACCATAGGGGGAGGGAACCATTTGCGTCATAACGATAGGCGGGTTCTTAATCTTCTAGGACAGTGATTACATCACTGCTCCCTTCAGGCCTGGTTTTCTTATCTCTTATTTTTTTAATTCGGATTTAATTTACATGTTATAACTTTGTTTTGATAAAGTTACTCTCTCATATCATATTTACAGGAGTGTTAAAGAACATAAAGCATTGACGTTTTAGATCTCATATTAGCATTTGAAATGTTTATTTATCAGAATGCTCATATACCATCACGGTTTTGAAAGAACAAAAAAATCCTGCGTAGCATCATAGGATTGATATCTTACAATGTGAAAATAGAAAAATATTTGAAGCACGCAATAAAGAAAATTTCAAGAGAAAACGGTTTCCTTCATCTCTTTTCAACCATAAACATCTTCAAGTTTCGAGAGGACAATATATAAAATTAAAATTCACGGTTAACAATGGCCTCAATCAACAAAAATTTCCCATTACGACAACTCAATGCACCTGCATCCTGTTTTGAGGTGCATCTTATAGGAAGGTTCTGACATGTGATTGGAGGTGCTTGTTTCAGGCTTCCATTGTTATTCTTCGAGTAGGTTACCTTTGGGTTTTATGAAGGAAACCCATTTTATGAAGGAAATCGCTTGAAATCCTTTTTGAGGTTTCTTTGCTGATGTCCTCTTTTTAGGTTTTTTGGGAAATTAACCAAACAGTCCCTTAAGTGAATATAGATGATGATGATGATGATACATAATTTTATCGTCGTCATTTAATGGCTGCTTTGCATATAACAAATATAAAAAATTTGCATATTTATTGCCATAATATATGCGAAACTACGAACTGTTTAAATTCGGTCTCAATTTTGAATAGCTTATACATAATTTTTTATTTTATTTTTTAGGCTTTTTATACCATAAGGAAGTTTCAGAGAATTTGAATTTTATCAGAGTAATTGATCCATCAAATTCAGATACAGATAGCACTTACAGATACCTGCAGAAGTTAAAGCTGATTCGGATATTAGAATTATTTCTTAATTCAGATATTAGGATATTTTTCCTGTGTATGCTCTGTTTACACACCTAACAGATAGTGTACTTCATAAACTGTTTTCTACAGTCACTAAAGAGATGGTAATGGATCAAAATTTTTGATCAACAAGAATGCACAATGATGCTATATAAGAACCTAAGGTCAACATATACATGAGTTTACTAGATCGTAAAGCGTATGAGAACATTACAAACGTTGTTTGCTGATGGTAGGGGGTAAGTGATCCATCTGTGATTTACGTGTGAATTTGGATCCTCGCATATGTTGATGTTTTATGTACATCAAGATAGAAATCTCGCCCTCGTAATATATCATATGCAGATGTAACATCCATCAAATAGAACTAACATCACAAATTGTGTACAGTATGTTCATTCTTAGTTTATAGGTAGAATACTAGTGACCATGATGTAGTCGATATCAGATAGAACATTTGGTAAGAATCACCCAACGGATGGTCGATCATAGTTTTTTGAGTTTGAGCTAAATTATCAGCTCAGTCTCCTTATTATTTCTCTCTATATGAATGAACATATAAAGACATATATTTCACAATGTGGATGAAATTGGAAAAACCCTTGTTATTGAAACAGAGGCCTTTTTTAAGGGAAATGATTGACTGTATGGCTTGAACAATCAATTTACATAAGCATGCAAAAAATTATTTTATATAATTGAAACTTATCAATTAAGTCGATAATGAAAAAAATATATCATTGACTCATCCAAGCAAGTAATCAGTTTAATAATCCTTGTAGAAAAGCATTTTCGCGATATAAAGTGATGAATAGAGTAACAAATATTTAAACCACTCATGGAATATGAAATGCGTTACTAAAAAAAGTAGAACAAGTTGCTGTTGTTGTTGTTGTTGTTTTTTTCTTGTAAATGTGCATTGAATTTCTTGGTCAAGCAGGAAAATATAGTATTAGGAATAGATATCTCCAAAAGAAAACAGAGATGGATTCAACATTACCTAACACGTATGCAGTAAAAATAATTCTAAAATGAGTTAATTTCCATACTACATGAAAACATAACCTAGATGGTAGAATGGGGACATAAGGATGTCAAAAATCATGTATGAGCAAGTTAACATAATTAGTGTGCATCTCCAATAATCAACATTACAAACAAATCTATGACCGCGTAGATTTCTTCTTAAAACAAACGAAAATGGCAGCTGTATGAATAACAAAAATTTCAGCGATTTCCAGTCCATTAGTTAACATTTTCTAGGCTAGTGATCAAGAACACATCCTATTAAGAGAGAACAAAATAATACCTCTAAACAAAGGATTCCAGAGTCTTGCACCGTTCCAAACCTCTCTTCAATCTCTCAGTAAAAACTGCAAAAAACATCAAAAAAAGAGAGGATAAGTCGAAATAATTCCACTTAAAATGAGAGAGATTATTCATCTAATTGAGGTTTACCTCACCTCGAAGCACGGCAACGATGAGATTTGATAATATAAGATAAATTTGCGAAGAAAAGGGAAAATGGTTGTTACTTAAGAAGCTTAATATCATTCTTCAAACAAATAAAAATAGCCGATAAAAATATCCCCGCTGGTGGCTGGAGCCTTAACTCAAAAGGCTAAGAATTGATTTATGTCTGCAGCACTTCTATCCCTCAATTTCTAATTATTAGCCACTGCAATAATCTGTGCAAACAAAAATGAGTAATATACTGTTACAGAAGTAGACATAGTTTTTTTTTTTTAAATACAGTGTCATCGTCGACTAGTTGTACTTATAGTGTTTGTTTTGCATAATATGTTGGGGTTTTGAACGGAAGTAATAATTAAAACCTCAACGCAGTTTAAAGGACATCTACCAAGAGCGGTAAAACAAACAATATATAGTAGCCTACAAACAGCTCCACCAATTATAGAAACCCCCAGCATACTGCTGCCGTTGCCATTAAAATTTACAAAAAAAACAATTATTCTCGCCATTTTCGCAACGTTCAGCTAACCAAACGACTTGGTTAACAGCCTGAGGCTACAACATTCTTTAAGAACGAAATAAACTGGAAACAACACCCAGTCCACGGCATTGCCAGCTAACCAACCAGCTAGATCTGGGCTCATCAAAACCAATTCACTATACCTTACAGATTCAACAATAAAATGATTTCCCTTTAATTGGAGTCCTCCCTCTCCAATACCCTGCACTTTATGTATTAACCGTGCGCTTAGGAAATCAACAACTAAACAGCAAGCATAATACAATCCATCACTTCACGATGCAAATCTTGATGACTGAAGCAATACCAATCCTGTGCAGCGCAACAACAGAATCCCCTGGCCTGCACAGTTTCTTCTTCACCGCCGACCTGAGCGCCGCCTCCAGTATCACCTCTGTCGACTCTGCATCCGTAGCCTTCGCTGAACCCTCAGCCAGCAACGGTATCAGCCCCCTATATATCAAGCTATGCCTCGAGGGCGACTCATCGCTCACTGACCAATCAAAAAAATCAGTAGTCAGTACAGGAACAACGACAGACAGTATAGGCACTGATGGCCGATACTTTGCCACAAGCTTCGCAGTCGTCCCTCCTCTCGTCAGCACGACGATCAGCGTCGCCTGCGCTCGGTTCGCCGTCCGCACCGCTGTCGACGCCAGGCTCTCAAGCGGACTCATCGGAAGCGGGGCACACCGTATCATCTCCTTGAAGATAGCATTGTAATCAAGAGAGGATTCGGCCTCGATGCAGATTTTGGCCATGACCTTGACGGCGATCTCAGGATAGGCCCCAGCAGCGCTCTCGCCGCTGAGCATGACGCAGTCGGTGCCGTCAAGGACAGCGTTGGCGACGTCAGTGGCTTCAGCGCGGGTCGGGCGAGGGGATTTGATCATGGACTCGAGCATTTGTGTGGCAGTCACCACAGGTTTACCAGCAAGGTTGCATTTGTAGATCATCATCTTTTGCGCGAGGAAGATTTTTTCGACTGGGATCTCCATGCCAAGATCACCACGAGCGACCATGAAAGCATCGGTTTCCTTTAGGATTTCGTCAAAGTTTATCACACCCTCCTGGTTCTCCACCTATAAAAACAAGATGGAACGATTAGATAAGATTCTCATACTGAATACTTCCCAAAGAAACCGTGGTTGATAATATAATCTTCCACAGCTAAAATAGAAGAATCTTCAAATTTTGAGATCCTTGGTATGAAAACAAAATGTATCAAGCACTGGAATCGTAAGTTTTAATATGGAAGCGGCTTTATATTCCTAGGACATAACGAGTTTTGTCATGTTCACTACTAAACAAGTAATGATAATCAGTTTGATGCTCCATACTGATGCTCCACTCTGTTCATTTTGATCTGTTCATTTTGATCTATATATGTCTAAAACGGACTACGAACAAAAAATAGGCATATTGACTTCTAATTATGAAACAAGAATTAGAAGTTTTCGAACATCAATTTTTTTTTCATTTATAAATGTTGTAAGATATGTATCATGGTTAATGTAACGAAACATCCCTTAGAATTACTAGCATAATTATGCCTAGGAGTATCAGAGCCTCTGCCTTTGTGTTTGTATTTTTGCAAGAGGACATCCGTGTACGAAAACATTGAAAAATGATAAAACCATGAAAAAATGATGAAACGAAGGGAGGAAACGATACCTTTGACATCAACTTTATGTGCTTCGCATGAGGACCCAAGACCTGACGTACATTGACGAGATCAGAGCCTTTTCTCACAAACGAGAGAGCAATAATATCAATGTTATTGGGAACACCCCACTCCAGTATATCCTCCTTGTCTTTGTCAGTCAATGTTGGAAGATCAACCACAATGCCAGGTAAATTAACATTTTTCCTCTCACCAAGCATAGCAGTGTTCTCACAACGGCATCTAACTGTTCCACCAGCTGGATCACATGAAAGTACAGAGAGGGTTATAGTTCCATCAGCACACAAGATGGAGTTTCCAGGCTTCAAGTCTACAGGAAGTTTCTTGTAACTCATGGTAATTGTTTTTCCATCACCCTTGAGGCTGTAATCAGTGCTCACTGTTATCTCTTCGCCCTTTTTAAGTTGGACGGGTTTTCCATCCTTCAGGAAGCCTGTGCGAATCTCCGGTCCCTGTGAATAGAAAAAGGACATATTTTAGCCAGTTATAGTAACAAAGAAAAAATATTGTAGATGGTGCTAACAATAAAAAGATGTTACTCTTAGAACTCAATGTATAATCTCTTCTGAAGGATAAAAAGGCTCGGTTTTTACATTCAAAACATATCAGTGCCTGCTATAATCGATGATCCAAGGAATGAACATCACTGCTTTTGATAGTGCTGACAGTAACCAAATCAGTCAGTAAACATCCTATCCTCCACTCCATGGAAGAGGAGGAGAAGAAAACCCTCGGACATCTCTAGCTGACTTAGTAGGTTAATTCTCACCTTGAATATGAATAGCCTAAAATCAGATGGACTTTATCGTAAATCAGAATAAGTGCACAACTCAGACATTGCACTATTTGCCATGTCATTGTCGTTCTGTACTATATGTACTATTTCAGAACTTTATGTGTCTATGAGTTGCCTTATGTTGTTCCAATATCCTTACCCTTTACTTCTTAGATAATCAATAATAAAATACTGTGAGATATAAAATTATAACCCCAACCCTCACCACAACTTCGGGGTTTTGGTGTAGTGCCAAGGGCTTTAAGATAGAATCAGAGCAACGCAACCCACGTTTCGATCTTGTTCCTCATGAATTTCTAAGGGCCTGTTTGGTTCACCATGGACTAGGAATAGGATTAGGAATCCTATTTAATTTATGGATTCCAACCTAATCCATAAAAATTTTATAGACAAGTTTGAGATTTATGGAATCCCACTTTTTTTGGTTTTTAATGTTTGTTTCACCCAAAGGATTAGTAATCCTACTTTTATAGAATTGTTCCAATTCCTAATACCAAGTTTGGTTCAATGAGGCAAATTTTTTTGGGATCGTCACTGTAGCAACGGAAATAACCACCAAAAAAACAGATTTTCTTGCATCAACCACTGTAGCAACGGCTATTTAAGCCCCCAATTGCTTATTTCCAGCCTTATAAACACTGTAGCAACGGTAATAAGCCCAGGAATCAGAAATTGCAAGCATCAAGCACTGTAGCAACGGTTGTTTATAGTAATCACTGTAGCAACGGCTACTACAAGGGGTATGGTGTCTATAAATACACCTTGAGGCCTCACATATAATCCCATCTTTCTCATTTTTCAACCCAAGAAAAATTCCCAAGCTCTTCAATTTGCTGCAGGATGATATCAGAAGGGTGCCATGCTAATTATGAAGTTTATTGCGACTGCAATCTCCAAACACCGATGAAAGTGTGCAAGAATGGAAAAAATAAGGGTAGGTGTTATTGGGGGTGTGCAAAATTCCCAAATAAAGAATGCAATTTTTTCGAATGGGCTGAAGAAAGAGGAGAGTCATCAAGCAACCAAGGAAGCTAATATGTCAAAGAAAATAGGTACGGAGATAAATATATCTTGCAATCAAAGAAGCTGAAGAAAGAATTGAGACTTGTCGAAAATCAACTACTAGCTTGGAAAATTTCGGCAATTTTCTTAGCAATTTTTTGTGTTATTTTAATTATTACAAACTTCATGTCATGTACTTGTAATTGCAAAAACTATTGAGGATGTAATAAAAACTGTTGTTTGACTTGGGTACAAATTCTAATTGATATTGTATGGCTCAGTAATAGATCAACTTGTCATCATTGATTGCCCCACCTATAACTTACATGTTTATTACAGATTGCATTATAAGGATGAATTGCCTCGCCTAGACATTGTCAATTCAATGTAGGCTGCAATGTCATCCCCTTTTGCCTCATCTGGATATAATAAACAATGTAAGTTAGATTGCATTCTCAGTAAACGCTAATCATCACCATTGCCAAATATCAAGTGCAAGGAGCTACACAAGCTGAAAACCAAACCGCAAATTAATCCACAGGCAAGGAAAACCAAAACAGCTCCCACAAAGCAGCAACCCCCATTACAGGATCTACACAAGCTCTGAACAAAACAGAAACAAACCCAGGGGTCAAGAGCTACACAAGCTCAGAACCAAAAAACAACAAACCCAGCAGCAAGGAGGTAGACAACCTACAACGAAAACAGCAACAACCCAGGGGTCAAGAGCTACACAAGCTCAAAAGAAAAAAGCAACAAACCCAACAGCAAAGGAGGTAAACAACCTCTGTCAAAAACAGCAACAAACCCAAGTCACAGGAGACAAACAAGCTCAGCACAAAACAGGCACAAACCCACCCAGCAAGGAGCTACACAAGCTCTGAACAAAACTTATTCAAACCAAGGGTCAAGAGCTACACAAGCTCTGAACAAAACATAAACAAACCCAGGGGTCAAGAGCTACACAAGCTCAAAAGAAAAAAGCAACAAACCCAACAGCAAAGGAGGTAAACAACCTCTGTCAAAAACAGCAACAAACCCAAGTCACAGGAGACAAACAAGCTCAGCACAAAACAGGCACAAACCCACCCAGCAAGGAGCTACACAAGCTCTGAACAAAACTTATTCAAACCAAGGGTCAAGAGCTACACAAGCTCTGAACAAAACATAAACAAACCCAGGGGTCAAGAGCTACACAAGCTCAGAAGAAAAAAGCAACAAACCCAACAGTAGCAGCAAAGGCAAGGAAAACCAGCAGCAGCAGCAAATGCTGCACAAAGCAACCAGCAGCAGCAACTGCTGCACAAAGCAACCAGCAGCAGCAACTGCTGCACAAAGCAACCAGCAGCAGCAACTGCTGCACAAAGCAACCAGCAGCAGCAACTGCTGCACAAAGCAACCAGCAGCAGCAACTGCTGCACAAAGCAACCAGCAGCAGCAACTGCTGCACAAAGCAACCAGCAGCAGCAACTGCTGCACAAAGCAACCAGCAGCAGCAACTGCTGCACAAAGCACAAAACAGGCACAAACTAGCAACCAGCAGCAGCATGAGTTGCAGAAAGCTCAAAACATGAGCTCACCCAAACTGCAGCATCAGCATGAGCTGCAGAAAGCTTACCTGATATCAAAATATAATCGGAAAATTCAAAGAAATCAATGATCATTCCACGACCTTACCTGCAACAAAGATTGCAAATATACCAATTCATCAATCCCACACCGACATAGATGTTCTTCAGAATGAAAATACAAATTGCAACATTAATAGTTTGCAATAAACACAACAATATCCAGAACGTAATATAATCGAAACCCAAGTAACTAGCTATCCGGCCAACCTTGGTCGTTAACTAATTTTGTGATGTACCTCTGTTGACCTTCCTTAGATTTAATGAAAAACCTCCTACCTTCACGTTCATTGTCATATAAATGGTCTAAAACCCTATCGAGGAACTCCTCGGAATATTCAGACCTATGTTCCTTCAACGCTGTGGCCAACTGCTCAGTCCAGTGTATAACGTGTTGATTCCTCATTGACTGAGACATGGACTCAACAAAGGCACACATCATTTCCTCTTCACGATTAAATTTTCTGGTTTTTTTGCTAGATGATGAAGTCGTGTTGTCTTTACTCTTAGTCTTATATCTAGTGGGTTGTGGTTGGTTAACAGCACCAGAACGTGGTGCGTTGCAAGCATCAGACTGTGGTTCAGCTTCACTCTCCTCTAGAATCTCGCAATCATCATCGGGAATAGGTATGGACCTACTAGACCCAATGTTAGCGTACACGGGTCTAACAAAATCACCCTTGGCTTGATCATCACCCATGATAACTTGTAAATTTTTGAAGTGAGGAAGGGGTTTGTTTATGTATGCTTTGTACTTAGAATTGGATTTGTCCTGCAATAATAAATACTTATAAATCCAGAGAATCAAATGTATTAAATTGAATGTGACAAGATAGATGCTGAATTGTTATACCTGGGCCCAAGATTTCAAGGTTTCCTCATCCAATGTAATCATTTTACTTGTTTCATCCCACCCAGCACCACTTATATCAAGGCAAGCTTTCATGTCATTGAATTTGTTCCGCAAACATTTCAAGTGGTTAATGACATGCAGGTGAGTGAAATCAGTCCTGAATTGCATGTTGATTTTCATGGCAGCCATTTTATAAGCTTCAGCCTTGAAGTTCTTGTCTGGCTTCATGCCATCCAATGCTAAATCTGCAAGATAAGGAATAAGCACATCATCGTGCTCTGGAAGCCAAAACTTATTAGCCACGCCTCTTGAGTTCAACCTGGTACACGGAACTTTTTTTTTGTGTGCTAATCGTTTCCCTCTTTTCAATGGCGAAGTGTGCTCCGCCCCATCAACGTCATGAATATCCTTTCCAACTGAATCACCAGTGTTTGGTGAAAATTGATTAGGTCCACTACTTTGAGAACTGGCTGTGGGAAACATCAAACCTTGTGGACTGCCTAACATGCTCATGTATGACATTGGCGGCTGTGTCATCCCACCATAATTACCATCCCATGGTGGGAATGGTGAGAAAGTATGCTGAGGTGAGGTGAATGGCTGTGGTCGAACAGGCATGTAGTTCATGTTAATCCCTGATGTAGGACTTGGCATTGCATTCGAATGAGAAGGCACGCTTTGCTTATCTGCCGGATTGTTAGCCATACCTAATATATTTTGTAAGCATAGCCATATTAACAATAAAGAAATATAAAACAATATGGGATATGTATGCATTTATCAAGGAATATATGAAACGATGATATTTCTGGTTCAAACAACATAAAAAAAGAGCAACCGATAAAAGTAGTAATGTTTTGGTACAAGCAAAAAAACAATAAACAATATCGATGCGAACAGTATTTTAAAATTCACCAAGTTATTACATAGCCATAGGACAAATACTACACTAAGTTAAACCGCTCTCCATTGTGTTACCACCATTGTACTTTGCACAATAATCCACCCACATCGCCCAAGCAATTTGATCTCGCATCTCCTTTCATTCATTTCTTACATCTTGATCCTCTCTTTGTGTCCTACTTTGAGTATAGTCCATCACATTTGATTCGTCCTCATTTGTCTCTTCCCCAGTATCTTCATCAATTTCAACATTTTCATTTAAAATATCATCATCCGGATCCTCCAAGGCAATAAAGTTGTGCAACACAGTACACGCTAGTACAATGTCCACTTGAGTGGGAAATGGATAATTCGGCTTCCCCGCAAGAATTTTAAACCGATTCTTCAGTATCCCAAATGTGCACTCAATTTTTGATCTTAAAGATGAATGCCTTAAATTGAACAACTCCTTCCTATTCTTTGGTGTCCTACCGGTGTGCTCTTTTAAATGATATCGGACACCGCGATACGGGGATATGAAACCTGGCATTGTGGTGTATCCAGCGTCACATAGGTAATATTTACCTACATTAATTAAACAGTATTTTAAAATCTCAAATATTGCCAAGTATTTAATATATTATTCATAATATGCACAAGTGAGAATGAATACCATCGTAAACTCGGAGACCGTAAGGCTGTGGCCTAGACAGGGCGTCTTGTAATACCCTATAATCATTTGCTGCCCCCTCCCAGCCAGCCAAGACATAAGTAAATAGTTTATTGGGGGTGCAGGCTGCTAAGATGTTTTGGGTGACCCCTTTTCGCCCTCTAAACCGTGCAACTAGGTCACTGGGTAACACCGCGTCGACGTGTGTGCCATCTATCAAACCAATGCAGTCCTATAAAAAATTATAAATTATACATAGTTAAATAAAAAAAAGTTTCTTTGGAAAATTATTAAGTTGTATGTATTTAATTTACCTTAAAGTACGGAAAATAATTTGAGTTGTTTGCAATCTCCTCGGGAACTTCTTTTGGGGCTTGCTTCATGTACCGATCACGTAATCCATTCATTGCAGACAAGACTTTATTGAAATACCTGCTCACTGTTTCCCCTGATCTTATGAACTCAGTTCTTATTATTCTATTTTTAGTTTTGTGCCCAATAATACTCAAGAACATAGCAAGTTGTTCTTCAACTTGAACGTGTCTCGTATCTTTTAATAAACCGTTTGCTTTCATTACTTCAACAAGTTTAAAAAATGCCCTCGGTCTCATTCTAATATAAGATTGGCAGCTATCTTGATAACCCTCCAATACACGTCTGAAATGAGCCTCTCTACAACTTATTTTCCTGACCCTTTCTTGCGGCGAACATTTTGGTATTCTCTTGCGCTTAGCACGCATTCTCAAAATACATGTTACCAAAGTGACCACGGCGCAGACAGCTGTATTAGCACACATCCTCTTCAATTCTTCCTCATCTTCCATATCCATCTACAACCGTTTTAATATTATCATACAGTTACAGCTTAAGATGGCTACTTATTTCTTGTAAAAATTAAGTAGATAATTGATACAAATATTTATTTCTTTTAAAGCAAGAAATCTAATTGCAATAATAAATTATTTTAACTAATGTTGCATTCCATCTCACACAATTCTAAACAAACAAGATAGACCCAAAACAAACAAACTATATGGTTAGATCACTAATAATTTACACGCACACAAAAAAATTAAATAAAGTTAAAAAAACAGCAATTTAAGTTCTTAAAATACTGATTTGAAACATATTATGAAATTAATCTCGCCCAAATCGGATATCCGCATGAAATTAATGTACCTAACAACCTAATTCTTGCAAATTTACAAAAAATCCACTACACAGAGACCCGCATGAATTATTTTGCTGTAATATTATGAAATTAATCGAACAAATCATTGAAATTGCTGTGTGTGCCTCTATTTCTCATATGCTTCAAAATTAAATTAAATTTTTCAAATCACTGGAAAAAATGGACAAAGTAAAAGGAGGAAATTTTTATACCTTACTGCAGAGGGGAAAATGCCGACGTTCAAGCTCGTGGAAATCAAGAAGATCCCAACCCAAGTTGAAGAAGATCCCAACCAGAAGGGATCACCAAGAATCGAAGGCAAGAAAACCAGCAACAATCTCGTGGAAATCAAGAGCTAGGGTTTCGAGAAAGAGGCCCGACCCCAAGTATCATCGTAGACGAAGAAGCGCGGGAGCAGAGGCGCGAGGAAGAGGGCGATTGAGGCGGGAGCGGCAGAGCGATTCCAGATCTAGGGATCGAAAGCGTGAAGCCAGGAATCGGAATCGACAAGGAAGCTCAAGTGTCAGAAATCTCGCCCAAATCGGAAGCAAATGCTCGGATTTGGGTTTCTACAAAAAAGGACAACTGTAGCTACTGTGTAGAAGATGTAATCCCAAAAAATTTTGCTGAACCAAACTCCAGAATAGGATTCACAAAGAATCCATAATTTACGAAAATGCCACTGTCAGAACCCAATTCCTAATCCTATTCTATAAAAGCCTGAAACAAACAGGCCCTAAGTGGATTTTAAAAAATTGATACTCATGCATGAGTCCAGGTTTTTGCGCTAAAAAAGAGCCATCGATCTGCGAGGGCATGTTACAATATTAAAAATATAAGCCTCACCACAACTTCGAAGTTATTGTGCAATGATAGGGATTTTAAGAAGTAGCATTATTAATTTCCAAAAAATGGAAATTTGTTACATTCAGTAAGACTTTCACACATCTAGTAGAGAACCAATATCGAATTAGACATTGAAAAGAGATACAGTTTTGTTATTTACATTAGTGTGTTTCTTAGCTTCACATGTTAAAGGCACTAACAAGATATGGTTCAGCTACAAAGCCTCTAACAAGATGAAGTATTCGATGTCCTTAGCATGTTTCTTCCATAAATCATACTCTAAAACTATCGAAACATAAAAAATAACTATACAAGTTAAAATATGTACATAAGACATGTATAAGCAGACAGATTTTAGAGGATACTGCATCCAGTAGTCATGTCCAAGATAGAACATGAGACATCCACATCCACTTCCACAAGTTATTAACTTAGTGGTCACGTAATAGCACTAGAACGATGTGGAACATCTCAAGGATAAGCAACCATGTTTGATTGTTTTCTGATACTTTTAGTACACCAACATGCAAAATAGAAGGTTAATTTATGATAGGGGTCTTTGCCTTTAAACCCAAACTTTTATCTTCATCTAGTTTTAAACCCACTTACCTTTATCTATATCTATAAACCCCAAAATGCTTTTCTTTTTTCTCTTTAAGCCCAAAATATTAAATACAGCTTATTCTATACAAGATTTACAAATAATTATAATTATAATAAATAAATAAATAAATACTCCCAAAATGCCCTTGTCTTCCTTTTACTCCGCTACCCTTAACTCACAACTCATTCTTCTCCCTCTTCTCACCCTCTCCACTC